TCCTGTTCAAATATTGGAGCTATCTCCAAACTGGGAGCCCTGAGCTACCCTCAGGCTTGAGTATATAACAATCATGTACTCAGATATGCTGCAAGCACCTAGTAGAATCCAGACAGAGGATTGAAGGTCCCGTCCCACCCAATACACTTTGGAACCTTCGAGCTCCAGGCCCCAATCTGGAGAAAACCAAAAATACACGTTTTCTCAGCTTAGAAACAATGGTCTGGAACTTCACATTAACCCTTAGGCTCCATGCACACTGGAAGTTTTAATAACGCTGGTAGCATTAGCTATGTAAAATCGGGTTAGAAACGCAAGTTGTTTAGCCGTGTTTTTCCGCACTTACATTTTTTAGGGTTTTTTTTTTTTTTTACACAAAATAAATAAATACAATTTTTGCTCAGAAAACGCCCCAAAATGCCACATTTTTCCGCAGTTACCAGCCTTAGAGCGTTTTTACAGCTAAAAAACTCCTCTAGAGGTTTTTTTCCAGCCAAAAAACGCTGATGTGTGTATGGACACATAGGATAACATGCTGGGGAGTTTACTGGCTGTAGAGAAAAAAGCCAAAAACAGCTGCTGTAAAAACGTCCCGTGTGCATGAGGACTAATGAGTCCTGTATATAATTGTGTCAATACATGTTAATGTTTTAGCAATCTTATTCCATGTAGAGTTTTTTAATATATAGTTAGCATGTGAAACGTAGAATTCTCACCAAATGCTACACTGAGGTAACCCAACAAAACCATAGTTATCAATTTTAATCAGTTGGTGAGGACATTTGCTTGCTCAAGAGCTGCACATTGTCTGGTTACTCATCATCCAGTTTTGAAGGATTGCAGCACACTACTCTATCCTATTATACCAAAACTAGTGAATTAGATCAGTGTATCCCAGAACAGTGCTCAAGGGGCCACTGTCATGTTCCCCAGAACTCGTTTCATGCAAAATGACTAGCCTGCTTCCTTTAGGGCCCATTAACATCTTTGCTTTGTGGGAATTCGTGTTACCATAATGTGTAGCAATGCATATTACTCGTGCTTCTGTAAAATGTATTTTAAGTGAACCGCACTGTGTTGCAGCATGTGGCAGCAGATAAAGGTGCATTTTGGTGCATTGCATTTAAAAAAATTAGGTTTCATCCAATGTTTGGAATGTTTTGGTGTGTTGACCGGCCATTCATTATTGTGCAGGTCAACTTGCGTCATTATAAGGATTTAATGCATCTCAAAAATGTAAATGGACCCTTAAACTATGACTGATTATCATAAGTACCTTAAAGTCTGTAAAGCATAGCAGCAGTCTTTCAGATCCTGTATCGAAGGTGGAAATGTTAATGTCACTCCCCTCCTTACCTTGTTCCAGGGTGGATTTGATTTAAATCAAACTGATTTAAATCACGATTTAAATCACTAGTCAGTAAGGCTTGATTTAAATCCTAGTTTTCTACATAAAGACTAATTCTTGCTGGTATAACTTTAATATGCAAGTAGATGAAGATTTTTAGAATAACAACTTTTCATATTAGTTTTTTTATCCCCAGTTTAATAGGTTAATCATTCATATTTGGACAACTTTTCTGTTGTACTTAGGAAGGAGAAAAATAATCATTACCTTAATAATAACAATTTAAATAGATTTATTCATCTGAAACAATAACATTCCAGCATATGCGATTTGCTTAAACATCCATGTTTGTAAACTAATTTGGCTAAACAAAATATATATATTTTAAGAAACTTAGACTGTCAGCCCCTTCCTCCTCACACTTAGTTTCACTTTCTTCTTGTGCAGATCTATTCCACTCCAAACAATCAGAAAAATATTGTTTCTATTCTATTCACTGAACTTCTTGAAACTTAGCACTGAAGGGGTTGATTCTGTATTCATAGGTTTGTAGAAGTTAGGATGAAGGTCTTTTTCTTAACTCTGTTCATGTTATAACATTTTTGCTGTGAAGAAGAGGCATGTGATCTCCGCTGAGTCAAATTCAGTTTTGAGAACTGCAAAAGTAAACCAAGCATCTGTGATAATATCTTGTAGGCAGAGAAACTGCCCAATAATCTTACAAAAACCTCTGGAAGAGCATAACATTGTGAATGGATTCATGGAATTTATTTACCAAAAACATTAAACATATACAGCCTTATTCTACATAATTAAAAAAACGTCTTTATTTCATGATGGAATAACCTTTGGATGGTAATATATTTTTCCTCAAAAAGCATTTTATTTAAAAAAAATCCGATTTAAATAAAAAAAAATCTGATTTAAATCAAAAAAATCCGATTTTTTTGATTTTTTATCCCACCCTGCCTTGTTCACAGCTTATTAAAAAAATACAAGGCGTTCTGGTTCCAACCACAACCACACCCCCTGCCCCTTTGGTTATTGTGCAGAGGAGAAGCTGCACACTGACCACACACCGAGGCAATCACTGTAGTAGCACCAACTACTACAGTGATTGTCAACTTTCCCAGTGGTATGAGCAGGGGCGGACTGACCATTTGGAAACTCGGGTACTGCCCGAGGGCCCGGGGTCAGTAGGGGGCCCCATGAGATGCCCCTGGTACCTTTTTCATAGGCTTTTTTGAGTTTGGGCAAGGACACAGGGGCCCCATGATCCCCTATTGCCCAGGGGCCCCCTGAGTTGTCAGTCTGCCCCTGGGTATGAGCAATGCATGCTTACATTGTACCAAGCTGGGCCAACGTAAGTATGCAGTAAAGATCAGTTTGAACAAATGTCCCTCCTGCTTCACAGGGAATCCTAGAACTTATTGTCCCTCAGCACCAGGGCAGGAGCAGGTCACTAGAACACTTCTTATGAATGCTGCCTTCATGAATTGTGTCGGCACGTAAAATCTGTCCTTGAGGTTGTACCGTGTCTGTGCGGCGACAGTTCTCATTGTGCAGGGCTCAGTGCCGCACATAGCATTACAAGCAGCTTGACGGGCTCTGGGGTGTTTACAACAAACATTTCTAGTGATATTGATTGCAGCCTCCTGTATGATAAGCCTGTTTATTACCAGTAGCTGGAGGCGATCGATGCATTGCTCTGCCTGCGTCCTGATCTGAACACTGGCGGAGCCGAGATAACGCACGCACAAAGCGCCATTTAATTCACACAACGTACCTACATGAAAAGAGGCGGCAAAGGAAAACATTCCATGTGTGAAATATAATTAGTCTATTAGACAGTCTCCCTGGAGTCATTGCAAGTAAATAAGGCCCCCGGTTCTACCAGCATCACCACACAGAGACATCTGACAGATTTCACTGTGAGTGACATATCTTGCCTGAAAGAAGATGACACTGAGGACATCTCAGTACACAATGACAGGGATGTATTGTGTCTGCAGCCAGTTACCTCTTTTATCTATATTTTAGAATACCTGCTGAATTTAATTTGTAGCATGGTGGCTGTAGCCTTTCAGAGCTGGGGTTTTGTATTCTGTTCCCATCAGGGACGCTGCCTGCATATCTACGATTGTTCTCATGTATGCAAATAGGTTTTGGGTCCTCTTTAGAGATGGCAATGCAATCTGATCTGAGAGGGCTTCTTATGCTCCCAAAATCCTTCTTGGCAAGATATACTTTATGGTCAAACGTTTGTGACCATCACACCTATATGAGCTTGTTGGTAATCTCATTTGCAACAATAATAAGAAGCCCCCTTCCTTCTTTGCACATATAACAGCTCCACTTTTCTTGGAATATATTTCAGAACTTTTTGGAGTGTCTTGGTTGGAATTTGTGCCCATTCAGCCAAAAGAGCATTTGTGAGGTCAAGTACTGATGTTGGGAGAGAAGACCTGGCTCACAATCAGAGTTCCAGTTCATGCCAAAGGTGTTCCATAGGGTTGAAGTCAGGGCTCTACTCAGTTCCTCCACACCCAAACTCATCAAACCATGTCTTTCTGAGGCTTCTAGAACTGAAAAGGGCCTTCTCCAAACTCTTTGCCACAAGGTTGGAAGTGCACAATTGTCTAATGTGTTTGCATTCTACCCTTCAGTGGAAACACCTAAATTTGGTCATTTTGAAGGGTGTTTATATACAGTTGGCCATATCATTGATGCCATGAGGTGTCCAGCAGAAGTAGCTTAGGGCTGGTATATTGCCATGAAAGTGTAAGGGAAAACAGAAAGCGTCTTCTGCCAAGGTGGTGGATGTGTCTGTTGTATATGTACAGACCTGTGTGTTTTCAGTGTTGAATATAACCATGGTTCTTTGGTTACAACCTGTGTGGTCGTTTTCTCATGGGTGAATATACTTAAAGTGGAACTAAACCTTCCTCTCCTTTACAGCCAAGGAAGCTGCCATCTTTGACTCACTTTGATCTGCAGTTGCCATGGTGCTGCACATGTGATCAATGAGAAACCAACTATTTGATAGCTTGACAGTTTGAGAGCACAAGCAACCGTGACAATTATCATTCACAGTATGCCTTGAATGTAACTGTTTTGGGAAACAGTTGAAAATCAGTGGGTTTTGGTTCAACTTTAAAGAACTCTGTGGTAACATTTTAGTAAAATCTACTCTTGGTCTCGCCATTTGTATGTGTGTAGCTATTCTCCCAGTGTTGATAATCCCATAGAGAGGGGTACGGATTATTCAGGCTTCCCTTGTACATTTGCAAATAGGTTGAACTGAGATTTAGATTATAGAGGTTGGTTTTAATTCAGTCCTTTGCTGATTGGCAGGGCTGAACGCTGGGGAATGTCTCCTGCTTGAGTACTTTTAGCGAATGGTCCCTTCTACGTGAACCTGCCTTACTAGTCATAAATTCATGTGTATGGTTGCCCCTTTGGTAGTGAACCGGTAAATAAAGTTCCCCACAACCAATCAGCAAGGAATGGGTCATTTAATATGTGTTTTCTCTTCCTGCAGGTAAATGGAAAGGATCTATCTAGAGCCACCCATGACCAGGCAGTGGAAGCTTTTAAGACGGCCAAAGAACCTATTGTGGTCCAGGTTTTACGAAGAACCCCCCGCACCAAGATGTATAGCCCTTCAGCCAGCGTGCAGATGATGGACGTGGAAACTCAGACCGAAATCACTTTTGAGCACATCATGGCTCTTACCAAAATGAGTTCCCCATCACCCTCAGTAGCTGCACTGAATCCCTATCTCCTCAATGAAGAGTAAGTACTCTTTCACTGGTTGTCATGTTATTTTGTCATGTATTAAACAATGTCTGTATTACCAAGTTATCCTCACTGTCTAGTAAACAAAAAAGATTTAATCTGGGTTTTCGCAATGTAAAACAAATTCAGTTTTTAAATATTTTGCTTAATAAGGCTTAATCATTAGAATTTTTATTTTACAGTTGTATCCCCTATGAAACAAAGTTCATGTAGTATTTTCATCCCATGTTTGTAAGATTTTCTAACCCTAATTAGAACCCTGAGTCCAATCTACCCCCTCCCCTCATGCCAAGGCTGATGTGACAACAGCTGTGATAGAGACGGCTGATTCATAGCTGCAGCTTGGCTCGGCTCAGCTCGGCTCTGAGCATTTTCTTGAGACAAGCAACGACAAGAGGAATCCAGGGGCTGACATATTCCTCCTTCGCCTCTATTCTTCTTGCCCTTGCTTGTCTCGAGAAAGTGCTCAAAGAGACAAGCTACAGCTGTAAATCAGCCATCTCCTTCATAGCTGTTGTCAGGTCGGATGCAGAAGGAGGGTAGGTTAGATCCTAAAACTACCATTAAAAAGCACTTAAAAATGTGGGACAAAGTACTGCATGTACATTGTCCCATAGGGGACAGAACTGTAAAAAAAAGTATGATAGATCTTCTTTAAAAAGAAAGTGTAATTTCAAGTGTGGTACTAATGGTCTCCAGACACCTGTCTCTCTTTACTTTGTACCTGTGTTTTTGACTCTCTCCCAGGGCTGTAGTCCTAACAAGAGTTGGCATCAAAAGAAAGTGGTGGTGCCATGGCAGAAGTGCGTGTGGCTAAATAGGTGTGTTTCAGATGGGCATGACTGAACAATTACTTAACCTCTAATATAACAGATGAAGGCTTTGTTAGGGCAGTATTATGATCTCTGTGGGAGGTAATAAATACCTGAAAGTTTTACACATTATTACCATTGAGTTATCATGGAAACATACAGTATATCTGATGATAGGTCAACTTTAATCACCTCCTGTCCCCTCACAGCTACTGATATGATCCATCAGATACCATGAAGAAGATGTCAGGGGCTAAATGAGTTGCTCACTCCAGTTGTCTGCCTTCTTTCTATGTTTTCAGAAGCTATTACACACAAATGTAGGGATTAGCTTGGTTTCTTTCCGCACCTGGAGGTTACCTGTCATTTCTGACCCTTTAGCTGCACATATACAGAGGGGCAGGGATGCTCATGACATCATTGACCTAATATGGTCATGTTCGGTGAATGGCATGTTGTTGACCTAATATTGTCATGTGGCCATATTAGGTCAATGATGTTACAAGCATCCCATCCCTTTGTGTACATCCAGCTGCATAGTGGGGATACATAGCTTATTATCAAGCAATCACAGCTAACTTCAGACTAACTTGGATTCAAACTGAACCCAATCTCATCATTAGCAATGAGCTTGGGTTTGGTCCAAGCCTAGAAGTTAGATGTCATCGCTGGGCCAATGAGCTATGGGTAGGAGATTCCCTGCTATTCAGCTGCACATATACGAAGGGAGGGGGATGCTTGTGACATCATTGACCTAATAAGGCCTCATGTCCATCTTAGGTCAATGATATTGACCTAATATGGCCACTGCCCAATTAGGTCAATGACGTTACAAGGATTACTGCAGTGTCCATCAGCTGAGGGGTTGGGAATCTCACACCTGTGGCTCATTGGCCCAGCAATGACAGCTAACTTTGGTTTTGAACGAACCCATGCCTGAGCCCAAGTTTATCACTTCTCATCACTAGTGTCTAAGAACTGTGTTTCTACCCTATAACAAATACATTTGGTTTTGGGCAAAAAACGGTCTGATTGCTAAAGGCAAGTGTCTTCCAAACACTTGAAGATCCCTGGCTATAAAGTGTTTGTGAATTCTCAGGTGAATGGAGACAGAAAACAGTTTCACAGCTCAGTAAATAAGCCCTGTGTCCCTCCTCTCTAACTTGTCATTATCCATGAATCACTCCCAAGTCTGAAGTCCATTGGGGACATATGGAACCATCAAGAGATAATTAATACGCCTATGTAATGAAGCATGGACAGCTAATTTGTGTCAGCAGACTTTCCTGGGGGTTTTTTTGTTTTTTTTTTAGAACTGTCGACAGTTGCACATTTTCAGGCTTCCAATGACTTCCTCGGAGGAATTGTAGGGTACCTGTCAGATACAAACAGTTCAGGAAGCCTCGGTAGTTCTGGATTCATGGCGGTTGTCATTTTGCTAAGGACTAGTGACATCTCTGTGTCATGATGCAAAATGACCTTCTCAGAGTTAGGCTTCATGCATCTTGGGTGTTTAGCCCCGATGCATGAGATCCTGGAGTTTTGGTGGGCAAGCATCTCTACATTATGGGCATTTGTCCCTGGGTGCCCTAAACATTGGTACCACTTAGTGCACCATCCTGCCTAAGAAGCTTTTAGCCTCTCGTAGAGGCTACCGGATGTGGGACATGATGGTGCACCTGTGCCTTCTGTCCACAAGTAAACAGCAGGTACTCATTTTCATACATCAAAGCTAAATGCCCAGTATGCATGAGGCCTAAAGCTAGCCATACACTAATAGATTTCCTGCAGGCAGCATGAAAGAATGTGAATGAGAATCCACCATCCACAGTAACAACATGAATAGCCAAACCCCACTGGGCAAAAAAAAAAAAGAAAGTTGAATAGAGCTGTGCCAGTAGGGACATACACAACCTGATTGTACAAACTCCTGTAGATCTACTAACAACTAAAATAACAATAAAATCTGTAATAAAAAGGCCTGCGTGATAGGATAGAAACTGATTGGATTGCACAGGTTTGCCGCTATAGTTTTGGTAAAAGTAAATAGGATTGTACAGAGATTGTACAATCTGTTGCCGTGTGTGTGGCAATCCTTAAACCTACACAGTACAAAAGACATGCACATTTCCACTGCAAAAAAAATACCTTTTGAACTCATCAGAAATCCGCTATGCTCCTATCTTCCTGTTTGGGCTGACAACACTGCCTCTGCTACATTGAAATCCCAAGCTTTACCTGCCTTCCCTGCTTCTGGACTACAGAACACCTTACTCTTTGGTTTTTGGAGGTGAGAGGGGAGGGGGTGTTTGGTAGTCGAGAAGAGAAGAAATGGACTGAGCTGACTACGCTGCTCATAATTTCAATGCAGCAAAGACAGTGTTGTCAATTCAAACAGGCATTTAGGAAATCACTGATTTTGCTGGCAGGATCAACAGGTATTTTTCTATACTTGCAGGTTTTGAAAGGATTTAAACATGGGGCAATATGCATGTATTGCAGAGACAGCCTGCATGCATTTTTACAACCTATGTGTACTAACCTGTTAAGAAAGATGTATATACTTACCTATTTCCAGGCCACTCTGGTCCAGTCACGTGATCCCCTGTGTCAGCACAATGACTGGTAAAGCTTGAATAGGTGACGTCACCCATAGGCTCTTATGGCCCAGCTGTTGTTGGCATTCCCTCCTCTCCCCTGCAGCTGCTGCTGGCTGACACAGCGGAGCTGGATCATGTGACCAGACTGTAGTGGTCTGAAAATAAAAGTCTATACTGTATATCTTACTTGGACGGGTTAGTTGGCGTAGGTGTTAGGAGGGCGCATTTTTACGTCCCATTCACATCTTGCGATTTGGGATCGTGGGCAGAATAGCTGTGATTCTCCCTGCAATCCCAAATCACGTGGCAATTGCAACATAACATGCTGCATGCGTTTGGATGTCTTTAAACTTTAATGGTAACCCATATGTGATGCAACCGTCATGCAGCAAAATGGCGCAAAGCTTGTTGCCCAAATAGGAGCAGGAGCTTCTTTTCAGGCAATAAACACGCATAGGGCATCCCATTCAAGTGAATGGACTGCCTATGTGACATACAGAATCACATGGCAATCACCTGTCAAAACCATGTAGTGGGAGCGCTCATTTCCTGCTACTCAATAATGTGAACAGGGCCTTAGGGCTACACAGGTTTATCCTAGAATTCTACATTAAGATAAAGAAACCTAATTAAAATGTAAAAGTGATAACTGCGACTTCTTTCTAAAAGAGGATTGCTGAACACCAGGCAGATATAAGGGTAATAGAAGGAGAGAGATGAGCTCATCAGTCTGCTGCTTCCCCTTTCACTGTCCATTCACAAGCTGGGGGAGGAGCAAGACCTGGAAGTGTTTACTGAACTGCAGCAGAAAATATTCAGGTCTTCTCCTCCTTCTGCTGTGCGGCAGAACTGTGTAGATATCAGAACTGGATGGTCACAAATACAAATTCTTTGGCTGGTAACACAGATCTTGTATGTTTTCATTTGTGTATTTAGCCGTTCAGCTCACACAGTTTTTAGTTCTCGTTTAAAAATGTTGTATTTTGGTTTCCAATCCATCATTTTCCAAAAATGCAGCCAGCTTCAGATTTTAAGAAATCAAACTAAAAGTAACAAATGAACCTTTGCAAATAATCCCCAAAGTGTATGAATCTTTGTTGCAAATAGCAGTAAGTCAGATTTTCCTTCTCTGTGTGCTTTATGGAACATGGCGGGCTAAAAAAGAAAAACAATCACAAGGCCAGATCGTCCTTCAGACACTTCTGATGGCGGTGGCCTGTGATTAGTCGACCGTCCTGTTCTAATCAGCTTTTATCTAGCGTTTAATTATGTCTGACAGGAATATTTTTGTTTAGCTCGTCTTCTGACTCCGCTGGTTTTTAGTCAGCAACGGCGGCGACATTTTCCCGCCACCCCGCTTAATGGTAATCCCTCGGAATAAACAGAGGAATGATCTTTGTAGGATGATGTTCCAGGCCAGTGGCGGAGCTCATCGTTTTTCCTGATGAGCCGAACATCCAAATGAAGCCATTAGCTTCGAACAATGCCGCTTCCTAAATGCAAATGAACGCAATAATTAGAAACGTAGACGCGCGGAGTCGATGGAGTGTCAGGCAAGAACAAGTTGGAAATAACCAGCTGAGAG